GCTTTTGCTGAAAATAACCGTGGTACTGGCATGTATTTGAACTAGTGTGATATTGATGTCAAACTACTTTGCTTCTGCTATTTGAACTTGGTATGTAATAACTATGTGAACTCCGATGTATGTGAGATACTTGTGAACCATTTGTGAACTATGACGTAACATGTGAGTTGTTATGTTGAATCATGTACGATATTGGCTTGTATGTTGATTAGATTGAGATCCTTCGTGATTTCATCGAACTACCGGGTTTATATGGACTCAAGTATGATAGTTTGATCGCTTCGGTGATTGCTACTGTACTTGTGCTCTTATAAATTGGACGATTCTGTGATTGATATAAAAAGTGACAAAAAATGTTGATTAAATAAACTAACAGCAAGAATTGTAACCGATGCATAATGTGTTTATTTGTTCTGATTAAGAAAATCTTGACAATGTTTTGATTACCTATGTTGCACGATGCATTCGTACATGTTCTGAAGCTTACAAAGATTGAAGAAACCCCAGAAACACTGAACATCTGAATATGAAAGCGAAGGTCCATTGTCTCCCCAACACAGGATGTTATTAATGATTGAAAATAAAGAGGAGGTATGATTATCTTGTCCTGCATTGTACTAAGCATGTAGCCATCTAGTGCTCGTATATGGCTAGACACACCAGCTGTGCAGCAACGAAGAAACCACCCACAGAAGTAGGTGGACCAGGAGAAGGGCCAAAATACATAAGGAAAAAAACAAAGACAGAAGATAGATGTACAACAAGCTAAAACAGAGGCGCCCATTATGGCCACCGAGATTATGAATCTCGGTTGAATAAGGTTGGTGCTAGTAGAAGAGAATGTATACTTTCAGTCCAAATGTAGAAAATGGAGAAGCAGCAAAAAGAGAAGATAGAGGTGAAGCTATCACAATTTCAAAACATGACAAAATGGAGAGGTAGCAAAAAGAATAGAAAAGGAAGCTCTGACCATTTCAAAACATGACAAAATGAGGGTTCTAGGAATTTGGCTATTGCTTGTGGCACAAATTAACCAAGCAAATAAGTGGGTCCACAAGAGATGCAGGTGAGGCCCTCCATGCTCCAATCCTTTTCTTTTCACATTAACAGCAGATATGATCATACATCAAATTCACAAAATTGGAAGTTATATACTGTGGGGTTGCAAGAGAAGAATAGAATCCAACTGAGATAATCAAAGAAAAAGGGAAATTACATGCAGAAATGTCAAGGAACAAACTGGATTTGCAAGAAGGTGGAGAGAGATGGATAGGAATAAATACATCATTAGCAATGGGGTGTGCTCAGTAATAGGACAACCAACAAATTATGTGAAGCAAATACATCATCGACAATGGACTTATGGTCAGTAACAAACACACAAATTGTAACAACTAACGAAAACAAAACAACACATGGAAAACACAATTGCTAAGATATAATGGCATCGTCATCATAAAACTAATGCAAATAGAAAGAATTATGGAAGGATGAAATAATTAATCATCATTGCACAATTACATTGTCTCAATCTAAAAAAAGGTCATCATTGCATATCCCCAAAACCTCAGTAGATAACATGAAGAATGAAACAATTAAGCATCATTGTATAGTGAAGGATACCAGCTGTGCGCACGATCCGCACATTTAGAAACAAGAGAGCGGCAGGAGCCGACGGACTTCTAGGGTAGGGGGGCCAAGATCCTCGCAGTGAGGAGACGAAGCTGAGGGAAGGGGTGGGGGAGAAGGGGAGAGAGCGCACCTCCGCCATGCGCAACAGGCAAGATGAAAATGGGAGATAAAATGAACTGAACATGAGAAGATAAAAGAAATGTAGTCAAAAGAAAATACAACAGTTGCGGATCAATGAGAAGCTGGAACAGAGAGAAAACTAAGATTAGGACTACACATGCGGGTGTTTTAAGTAGCAAGAAGCAGCAACATCCATAAATATAGGACCAGAACTCTTCAGTGAGCCATCAAGGCCAGCTTTCAACATACAAACGAAAAATATGAAGCTTGTTTTCCTATCACTGCTGCAATCCGCTACAGATCATGAAATAAGCACCTTCAAATAGTGCTGCATGTGGATATAGTATTGTTGTATCAAGCCAATCACTGTATCAATAAAACAGGAAGTTATAACTCTACAAATCAGGCAATGATAACCATCAAATAAAAAATTACCCCTTTTCAATTCATATTCAGAGGAAGACATTAATGACCTGCAACTGGGAAACTGGAAATATGAGATGCTAACGCGAACTGGGAGCTTTCTAACCTTTGTTTAGGAAACAACACATGGTGCGATAGTATAGAACAGAAAGCCAAACATGATACCGGGACATCTGGCCAAAGGAAATAAAAAGGGATCAAGACAGAAATGGAAATCAAGCGAACGAACCTAAGCAAATAAAACTGTCAGCAATTTTCAGAATAGGAACCTAGGAGGAGGAGGCAACAACGGCATAAGCATAGCTGCCACTAGAGGTATGTTTCATATGATATGTGATCCACTGAACGAAATCGATGCTAAATTTGTAGTTGGCTAGTTCAAGGCAAGTCTATATATTAAACATAGGAGTAAGAAAAATGAATAACACATCAAGTTACATGTTCAGGTAATAATTGCCTAAATCTCATTGAGTAACATCTGAGAAGTTTCCTTTTGTTCACGTTAATAACCTGATTAGGCTCATTAAAATATGTTTCCTGCCTCAATTTGGAACACAGGAAAACAAATTTTTACGAAGGGAAACTAAACATAGTTTAGCTATCAGTCCGTGTCACCCCACACGTGGGGAAAAAGGTCGTGTGGATCCTTATGGGCAATATATACCGATTATTAGCCATTGAAAGGCACCAAAAAATAATTCTAATTTATTTTACACAAGAACTTTACCCCCACCTGATCAAGATCAACACCTATAAGTAGCCACAGTTATAAGATCAACACGTGTGGTAGAGACACACCACCAGGCACCACGCCACACATCTAAAAAGGCAGGAAGGAAGATAGACCAGGCATAAGCAAAGGAACTCACCAACACACCTTCCAATGTTATCAGTCTGCACAGATGGATTTGCTAGAAAAATAACCACTCCTCTTAATTGACTCCCTTCACCACACAGCACAGAGAGGAAACAAGCATCAGGAACCATGAAACAGAGGCAAGATATTCGAAAACCCCGAAGAGCACAAGATTGCGCAAGAAATAAGCAGAACAAGGGATTTCTTGGTGGCAACAAGGCCCAAAAGGACATATGTCTTGCAGCAACAGATGCGGAAAGGAAATCAAAGTTTTTTTTGTTTGCAATGTAATCCTTTAAAGCAGGAAAAAACACAGAAGAAGCACAAGAGCAACCAAAAGGCGAAAAAAATATAAGCTATAAAGGTGACCATTTTTTTTAGTCCAGGTACGAAACCAACATATGGAGAACTAAAATGGAATAGGAAATGGATACAGGCTTACCAGGCACCAATCACTGTGGTACAATAACTCTGATTTCCCTAACCTATACTCTGCACAAGACAAGGCAGGAATGTAAAATTTAATTGGAGATCAAAGCACCAAGACAGGAAAACCAAAAATAAAATAATACAACCAAGAAAGTGATGTATGTTACTATATCTATATATGTGTAGACATATATGCAGGTACATAAGCTGCAACTAAGAAAGTGATGAAAAAACTATCAATCTTGCATTAGCTCCTATAAGGAAACCAAATAAATAGCTCAAAAACTGTAGTACGTACATGTCTCAGGCAATGGATAGTCGAAATTCTGAAAACGATATATACAACATTACTGATGTAAGATTATAAAGGGTCCAAATGATCATGGAGGTAGCACTCTACTCATTATGAATTGGAAAAGGTAATAAGAAAAGGCTGGCTAACCACTGTCACCTCAAGTTACTGATTGGACAGTGAACTGGAACGAACAGAGTAGTTAGCCCCAGATGACCTCAAGAAGGGACCTGTATAAGGGCATGGAACCTGCAATGCAAATAAGCATGGCACTGCACTGAACAAAGGCATGGAACCTAAAATGTGGAGTAGCAAAAGCAATAAGAGATATACCAAAAGGGGTTCATCTGTGCAAATTGTCTTTCCCTTACGTCTCATTGTACAGCCCCAAAAGGTGGAGTAGAAATTTAAGCACTAATGGTCCTGCTCTAAAGAATGGAAAGTCAGCAAAGCCACCATGTATAGATGAGGTTATAACGAATAGACTGCACCAGAGAAGGAAAAATTGTGAACCCATAACAAACTGTATAGGTTATCATGAATTGAATCTAGGTACTCCATAACAATGGGTGCTAAAGCACATCCTTTGGCATAGCATGAAGGTAAAGAACTTAACAACATGATGTACTATGCAACACTGGTTGTTGAGTGAGCACAAAGGGCACATCCTGTGGCGCTACGGAGGAGCCGAGGAGGCAGAGGGCGGCGCGAGCGAGGAGCGCGGAGTCGTCGATGCGGAAGAAGCGGAGGAGACGACGGCAGGGAGAAGCGGAAAGATATTTTCTGTTGAGCCAGTCATGTACCGACGTGTGGAGCATGTGGGGGCGGGGTTGTAAAGCAAAATCTGCATCGTTAAAACCAGATCAGACGCTGTAAATTGTCTTTGCTACCGTGATGCCCTGAGAGGCCGCCGAGCTCCGCTGCCTTAATAAGAAGAAATTTATTTATCCTGCCATCTTTGCATTGAGTTAAGATCAAAGTAGAAACAAATGCGACTGAGACCCCGAAGTGAAATCTTGCACGTACATTGGAGGCAGACAATGCAAGCTGCACCCAGGTATACACAAAAGTACAAAGTGCATGCAACAATGTAATAATCAATGCAACAACCATGGTCCAGCTAGCTCACTAATACTATACAATCTGTATGATGCATGGATGTAGTAAGCCTGCGTGTGGAATGATATGTATATCAGAGAGCGCGCAGTAGTACAGCCAAGAATCTGCTAAGCAGACGAAGCGTCGAGTATGTCAGGTGGGCACGTAGTAGCAGCTGAGTCGACGACGACGACGACGACGACGGAGAAGAAAGGCGGCGTCATCATGCGGGTGCACGTCGCGGTGGTGTGCTCTGCAGTGGGCTTCCTCGGCTTCGTCATCCTCATCCTCGGAGTCGCCGGGGAGGCCGCCACGGCGCAGGCCTACGTCCGGGGGCCTGATGATGGCAGCGACGTAAACTGTCAGTACCGCAGCACGCCGGCGCTGGCCTGTGGCATCGTCGCGGCGCTGCTGGCGATCACGGCTCAGGTCGTGGTCACCGCAACCAGCCTCTGCTGCGGGTGCTGCCGGACATGGGAGGTACCAACGGAGACAAGGCGCATCGTCGGCATCGTCCTCTCCGCCGTCTCATGGTACGTATACGCACGCGTATTAGTTACCTCCGTCCACGCTTTGGTATTTTAAGGTGCATATCTTTTATTATATACGGAGACTTAATATATATCTAGATGCATATGATAAGTTATGAATCTAAAAAAGCTAAGACGTCTCATAATTTAGAACGGACGATGTTTTGAGAAGGTATATATTTATATGCTAAGTCAGTTAACTTTCCATCCTCTATTAGTAAATTAAACTAAAGCATGTTTTTGTCCACACCGATTTTATTTCCCGATTTTTTTTGGTTCTATCATGTGTTTATATATAGGCCATAAATTAAACGGTGTGTTTTCCGCATTTATATTTTCCATTCCAATCAAAACTGGTACGGAGTTATGCACATCCCTATTCTATATTGCAGGATAACTGTGCTTCTAGTGATGGCACTGTTTATCGCGGGCGCTGCGCTTAACGCGGACCAAGAGAGACAACCCGACGCCGACGGCAATTGCTCCCGTGCCCCAGGTAGCTCACTGTTCGCGGCAGCGACAGTCCTGGCTGTCGCCGCCACAGGCATGCAGGTCGCGTCCTACATCCTGCTCCAGGTGACGACGACGCCCACAAGCTCCACCAAGCCCCTGATGGCAACGCAGCAGCCGGAGTTGGCCATGGGGCAGCCGGTGGTGGAGCCGAAACCGCAGCAAACTGCAGAGGAGGTGGCTGCGGTCGCAGTCATTGCCCAGGAGCCGCCGCCGCCTTCGGCTCCTGTACCGTTTCAAGCAACAGAACCTGCATCCCAAGTTTGAAGTTTGGAACCTATGGAAGGACGTTTAATTTCCTTGAGGTGTTCATTCATAATAAAAATCGCGATGCCAACTTCTATGTATGTTATCGCGATGCCAACTTCTATATATGTGCGATATATGCATGGTTTGTTTGTTCAGAATCAGTCAGGATTTTTGTGTGGCGTTGTTCGATATAGGATGATAAAAAACATACGTGGGCAAAAAGCACTATTCTTATAACATTCACAGGCTCCCGTGTCGCTCCCAAATGGGCGAATCAGGCGACGGCACTCCCGTCTGCGGCCAGCAACCTCCCATGGGGCCCTCTACCTTGCCACCGCCGGAGTAGCTGGCTGGACCTAGGTAGCCACGAGGAGGGCGGTGGCGGGTCCTTCTCCGTCGGTGCTGCGGGATTTATCGAGCAAGGCGGCATCGGCATAGCGGGCTGAGGCGGCGGGCTCCCGGAGCGGTAGGGGCGCTGCTCCAGATCTCCAGCCGCCTGTGGGGACGGTGGTGGAGCTCTCGATAAGCAGAATCGATTAGGCGAGATCCGATTCTCTCGGTCGGATCTCGCGAGGGGCGGCCGGATCTGGTGGGGTTACGGTGGACAGCGGGCGCCGAGGGCGGCGGCAATGTGCCTGGCGGCCAGATCGACACTCCTAGGGCCGGATCCAGTGCTTCTGAGGTGGCAGCGGCGTGTGGCGCCGGCGTTGGAGACGGAGGCCAGCGTCAGCTTCGGGGGACGGCGGCGGCTTGCTGCAGGCATGGTGGCTTGGTTGCTAGCAGCGGATTGTGGCGCCTAGACTTGCTTGATAGCGCCTAGTGCAGTGTAGGACAACGTCGATTGACGGCGCTAGCGCCAATGGAGACATGTCTGCATCTGCAAGACCAGTGTGGCGTCTTCGTGGTGATGGCATTGGTGACGACCAATCTTGGAGTTGGATGGAAGTTGGGTGGTGGCGTCTTCGATGCACACATGTTGTGGCCGTCGGGCACCTTCACGAGGCGTTTTGCTGGGGTTGGCGACTTTAGGTTGGCTGCGGTTATCTTTAACTGGTGTCACAGCGGCTGGCCACACATACCTGCGGTCGGTTCTTTGTGTCTGCGATAACTTTTAGAAGGCAACTCTCGACGGACAAGAACACGGAAACGGTGCTTTGGCATCTTATGTATTGCGTCACGAGACTGTCTTGGCTCATGCAGCAACATGGTGTGGTGACCCCAGATGTTTTGGTGCTTGGCGAGATGGCAACGGCTGTGAGGATGGCGCCACATTATCGAATCACGCTTGCCGTGACTCGGTCATTGTGGCTGCGACATCTCGTTGGTGGCGGCTCACTTCGGTTACATCCATGCTTTGGGCTTGTGGTTTGGGGTGGGACATCTGGAGAAATCCTTGCTCGGCCACGCTCATGTCGACAATGATGACGCTTGTGGGTATCGTGGACCTCGGTGGAGGCATTGTCATGTACCCTTACCCCATTTCCGCCTCTACCCTAGGGTTCTTTTCCTGGTTGAAAAACCCATACCGGTTTTCCGGTTGGCTTTGTCGGCGTCTGCGGATGCCGTTTCCTCCATGGAGGCATCGCTTGTGAACCCCTTGGTGGTTGTTGCTGCAATAGGTAGGGTGACCTTTGGTTTTGAGGGTAGCTTTGATTGTGGTGGTTTGTCATGCCATTGCTAGAGTCGTGTGTTGGTTTTCGGTGGTGCTGTTTATGTACTTGTTTACTCCTCCTTTATTAATACATAGACCGACAGTTTAACCTGCTGGCTTCTCTTAAAAAAGATATAGGATGATTCTATGACATTATTGGTATTAGATTTGTCAGGACTACCTAGCTCTCTTATAGAACATGTTACTGCTTCAATTTTTTTAATCATAATACCATGTACACTATGAAGGACTGAACCAACACATCTTCATCAGGATTAACGAAGACATCATTGGGTCAATATAATGGTGGGTTCCGCATGGCACGATTGGTTTTCGGCCCCTGTGGACAACCGGCCGCAATAGCGACCGAGGGCGCGGCGCGATGCAGCAGCGGATCTGGCCCAACTCGCTATACCCACGAGCCAGCGCCCCCTAGGCCCAGGTCCACCGGAGACCACAACATATCAAGATCTTAGGCCTAACTCAACTTAAAAGACTAGCCTAATAGGTGCGGGTTGTCCCCGCCTTATATGTTGTGCTTCCGCAACATCAATTACCGATGTGGGACTAAATCTAACGTCGTAATCTCAAGTGAATGCAGGGCATCGAGTCGTCGACTGAATGAGCGCTCACATCACGTAAATGGGCCTCCTGCCCAGTGTGAAATAGAGTGAAAAAGTAGCAAAAAAAAGATTCGACCTTGAGACCTCTTATATAACAGGTGAGTAGAATACCATTGCGATCCCATCTATGTTCCAGACATCATCCCAATTATCTAGGGATCATGATCCCTCCGCGAACCAATAGTTTTGAAGAGGTATACCCCTGCGAAACGGGAACTTAAAATTATTGAACCACGTCCGACGTTTCTGGTACCTTACATACTGGGGACTTGGTGACTGTGCCATAGATGTCTCGCTCTTGACAGACACTTCATCAATTAATGAAAGAATAACACCATTAAAAATACTACCATGCGTGTATGTTCTTTTTAGAACGTGCAACTCATGTTTTTTCATTATCCTTTAAGCGAGAGGAGAAAAGGTCAAATTACTAATCTCATCCAGTAGATTATTAATTACTCCCTTCATTCCAAAAAAAAAAAAAATGAAAGTTGTTGATACTCAAAAGTGTCCAAGGTGGATTTTGGGCACCTCAATAAGTTCTTGATATCATGACGTTCGCTACGGCCTCAGGAGCACTGACTTGCTTCCCAGCCACCATTGTTTACTCCCAAAATGCCATGATCCGCTGACGCAGCACTGATGATACATGTTTTTTTTTTATGATGACAGCACTGATGATACAGGGTCGATTGCTATTGTGGCGCAAGCTGGATTCCTACTGCCGAACGCCTCTTCTCGTATTCACCGGTTAAAGACAGAAAAGCACAACAATCGTGTATTGTCTTAACAATTTGTATAACATAACATCTGTATAATGTCATATTCAGAGGACGACAGAGAACTCCGATATAGACCATCGTACCTGTTCAAATGTATGTAGAAAAAAAAGAGATTAAAAAAACAATCAAAGATTAAACATTATGGCAATGAGGCAAATGTTGATGCCACCAAAAACCATATTTATAACAAGCCGTATATTAGGCTTTTGTTGGGCTCGTGCTACGACATTTGCCAACAAGAGATATTTGAGTTTCTGAAAACGAGTGATAAATAGCTATATCACCCATCAAAGTACCATTTTTTTTTTGTTCTGTGTCGGGGCCATGTTATGGCACAAGAAGCAAGGAGGAGGGAATGGCCATGGAGGTTCCAGGCCTGGTCTTAACACGGCTCCTCACGGCGTCGGGCAGGGCTGATACGCCAGTGCCCACAGCCTATACAAGACAAGGAGCGAACTCGTCCAGTATTTCGGTCCAGCATATGAAGATCCCGTATGATTCAAATCATTGTTATTGTTTGATCTTGTCTCTCTCTATTCTCGTCTTTCATCTAACATGCAGGATGATGAACTCCGCCTTTATGAGCTTATCAACTTTAGTGATCACTTGAACATGAAATTCTAATCGCAAGCGCACAGGCAGCTGCTTTACAGGGCGGAATTGTGGATCAATCGCCAACTTGTGGGTAGCGACACGAGTATCTAACCCCGGCATCTCCTTGTAGTTCTATGCAAAGCAATCCCGATACTCCATCAGAAAGTTTTTATAGTCTTCTCGCTCCTCTTCAAAAAGTGAGGCGCTAACAAAGATGGGGCGTGGATCATCCTTCGTTCCCAGGTAGATCTCTACGATTTCATCAATTGTGGGTTTCTCGAGGTGTTGATACATCATCTAGGGCCAACGCCCTACACGGCGGTTCTTTCTCCAAGGTTACCCACGTTCCATCTAGTGGCAACGGCACAGGGTGTCTCTCGCATAATTCAATGCCCGGTTCGTCTCGCCAAGTTGATGAAGGATTGATCCTCACGCGCACGGTATGTTGTGCAGCGTGAGGTGGTTTACGCCCTGTCTTCTCCTAGCCCACCTCGAGATGCAAGCAACCGCCATCGCCTTTACTCGCTTGCGGTGTCCAGAGGCTAGGGGAAGAATACACTATCCACTGCTACGACCAGGTCAGAAGAAAAGGACCTAGACAATGTGCACTTTGATGGAGTTTACAGTAGTGATGGATGTGTAAGTAGCTAGTCCACTTTCTCTTATTCATGTATATATTTTCATGCAGTTAATTTGCTCACCATTATGCAGTTCTATGTTGGCCTCAATTTTCGCAATTTCCCACCCATTCCGAAAAACATTGAGTCTTTCGCCGATGTCAATCTTGACTCCATCCCTGACGCCGAGCTTGCCCTCAAAGGTTCGGAGAAGGCAAAGCAACCCAGTGTCGAAGTTGACATTCAAGGAAAGATAAATCAGCCTCAGTCACATGGTAATTCAAAAAGTATTTCTTATGATGTTGTCCATTTTTTTGTTTTACCATCATGATGATTACACACACGCATTGAAGACGATGATCATCTTTTGCTTTTAGATGGCTGAACCACCATAAGGGAAAAGGCGTGTCACGACCCTCGGAGCCCACCAAGGAGCTGGAGAGTGCGACTGATAGGAATCCGATCCCTACTGATGCGAGTTCGTAGGTTGTACGAGTGAGAGAGGGGAGGGCGAGGCTGGAGGCACGCTCGACGGCTTCTGGGCGCCGTGGTCGCGTGCAGAAGAAGAGAAGGAGGCTGCTAGGGCTACTGGGGTCTCCCGGCTCCCTAAAGGAAGCCGAGCAATTATGTTGCTCTTTTTCCTCCCATCACAAAGTGTCTTACATCTGCTTATATAGCTCTCCTCCTTGCTAATAATAGGAAATAAATAATAATAAATTAGGCCAAGCCCATAATTCTCTACGCCTCTAGC